ATAGACCCAGAGGACTGTAGTAGGTTGGATAGGATCTCAAGGGGCAATGATCTGATCAAAAAAACTGTTACGCAGAGGGGCAGGATTATTATTATTATTATTATTATTATTTATTCCCTATAGAGGAATCTACAGCTCAAATCCAGATGCTTTCTCAGGAAGATCAGTCAACTATAAGAATTTTAGTCCTTTGCACCAAAATAAATTTTAAAACTCGCCCTAATGAATAATTTTGTCCACATCTGCACAGGTATATAGTTTTAAAGAAAGCCAGTGTCTTAGTGGTTGGAGTGTTGGACTGTGACTCTGAAGACCAGGGTTCGAATCCCAGCTCAGCCATGGAACCCACTGGGTGACCTTGGGCAAGTCACACTCTCTCAACCTCAGAGGATGGCCATGCACAGCTTCTTTCTCCCCCAGCCAATTGCTGGTAGTTGCAATAAAAAAAGGAACTTTCCCAAAGTTTGGCATGTAGGACGAATCCTCAGAATCCCATGTTTTTCATCTCAATGAAGGGATTTTTTTGTCCCTGTTAAGGCAACACAATAATTTGTCCTTTTGTGTTGACCACTGAGCAAGGTTTTCTTCTTCAACTTGACCTCCTATTTAAAAGATCTCTAAATTCCTTGAGACGACCATGTTTTTGCTTCTTACTCGTAATCCTATTTCTTCTTCCCTTCTGTGGGACACAATCTGAATAAATTCGGAAGACACCCCATCGTTTATAAAGACAGTTTTATTGCCGATAAGCTCTTAAACGTAAAGCAACAACAACAACAACCCTGCTCCCAGCCCTTCTTTCTATTTCAGTAGGACCTTCTCATTTCCGACGAAAAGTCAGGCCATAAACTTTCTCCGTTTTCCTTTTCTAAAAAATAAAGTAAAACTTTCGAAATAAATAAATATATAAAATAAATACCATATACACTTTATAAATAGAGTGGTCCTTAGAGACAGGATTGTGTTTATATTGGATGAAGGTTAGTTCCTGGGGTCTATCCTTTGCTGCTCTTAGTCTCCCAAAGGTAGGAGACTCACATTTGCACAAACGGATGCACACACACACGGACACCACACACCCATCTCTCAGGACCTAGGATGTCCAGCTGTCCGATCCAATCTGAATACACCTTGTAGGTCCTCTTTTTGCATTTATCCTACCATGCAAGTCTACAAGTTGGAGACGACAGTCAGGGTTTTTGGCTTTGCAAAGTCCATTTGGGCCACCTCAAGAGAAATCCAAGTAGCAAATCCATTCAAAGGCTTCTCCTTCATATGAGCAAATGTTCCCACCTTTGGCAAGTGGTCTA